AGTTGACTGGAAAAGTGTAAGAGCATCATCCATTATCCAGAACCCAGGCAAGCATTTCATCATGAAATTAACATACAATACTGATCAACTTCTCTGGACAACCAAGTTTTGACATTTTTTTTTACAAGCCCTCATGACTGACAGTATCATAGGCATTGGTCAGATTGATGAACATCGTGTATAGACCTCTGTTCTGCTGCTGGCATTTCTCCTGTAGCTGCTGGACAGCAAATACCTACTGACTGTTCCCTCAGCCTTTTCTGAAATCACACTGGCTTGCAGGTAGATGACTATCTTCCAAGTGAAGGATCAGCCTTTTAAGGAGAACTCTGGCAAGAATCTTACCAGCAATGACTAAGAGAGAGACCCCACCCCTCCACCAGTCCATGATTGTCACAGGACAATCTATTTCCTTTACCTACAGAGATGGACAACGGAGGCATCCTTGAATTCCTGAGGGGATAACCTCTTGCCATATAACCTGGAAAATTTCAGTCAGCTTTTATATGAGCAATGGACCCCCCACCTTGTAAATCTCAGCTGGAATAGAATCAGCACCAGGCGCTTTGCCACAGGAGAGGAGCCTAATGGCATTCAAAACCTCGTCTTCAGTTGGAAAAGGTTATATGCAAGAGGAGGTTACTACCACTTCAAATCAGTATCTCCACTACTGAATATCAGGCATTCAGCTACAAGAACTTAACAGAACTTAAACATACAAATTTGATTTGATTAAAAATCATAGAATTTTGCAGTTGTGAGGGTCCTCACAGGTCACCTAGTCCAATTTCTAATCAAATTATGCATTCCTTCTATAACCTCCCTGAAAAATAATCATCCAGTCTCTATTTTAAGACCTACAGTGACTGGGAAACTCCTTGTTTTAGTCTTAGAAGGCAGAAGTTTACATCTTTGGACTTTAATTGTCAAAAAGTTTTGATATACTGATTCACAATCTCAATCTCTCTTTCATTCTAGATTTGCCCTATAAAATCCAGCAAAACAAGTCTAACCCTTCTTCTACATAAAGACCCTTCAGATATTTTAAGACAGAAATACCATGTCCTGGGGGCAGCTAGGTGGCACAGTGGATAAAGCACAAGCCCTGGGGTCAGGGGGACCCGAGTTCAAATTCAGCCTCAGACACTTGACACTTATTAGCTGTGTGACCCTGGGCAAGTCATTTAACCCCGATTGCCTAGCCAAAAAAAAAAAAAAAAAGATGATATTATTAGGGGCAGCTAGGTGGCACAGTGGATAGAGCACTGGCCCTGGAGTCAGGAGGACCTGAGTTTAAGTCTGGCCTCAGACACATAATACTTCCTAGCTGTATGACTCTGGGCAAGTCACTTAACCCCAATTGCCTTACTTTAAAAAAAAAAAAAAAAAAAAGATATATCATGTCCTAATCTTCACTGCCCTCCCCATCCCACCCCCTGTCAAGTTTTTTCTTCTCCAGGTTAAGCATCCTCTGATTCCCATATGGCAATGGTCTCCAGAAGGGGGTTCCTAGGGGACCATGGCCTGATCCCAAGAGATGGCATTCTCAAGAGAAGAATGGGATGGGGCTCTGATGCAGATTAACTAGGAAAGCCCTATTGAATATGGTTTGTGCCATTAAATGCATTATCACATATTTAAAAGTATCTTGGGAACCATGGCCTGGCCCCAATGTATGTGTGATTCATCAAAGAGAGGGTGGGAATATCACATTGTGCCCTCAGTATTATAACTAATCAATAGCCAACAGTGGAACTTCTCTCTACCAGAACTACTACCCTTATAACCTAGCACTTGGCCCTTCCCTCTGCTATGCCAACTTCCCTGGGGCCTTCTGAACTTAAAATCATCCCCTTCGGGAACTTATAACTTAGGGAAGTTACTACACAGAGAGCACTGGGAGAATCTGCATCCTTCCCCCATCACTCCAGGGCTGCAGTGGCCACACCTTGAAGGGCATGATCTGGAGCCGAGACTGGTGAATAAGAGCCCCACCTTTCCCATTCTCATTTTGGGCGAGACAGAGTGATTCATAAAGAATGACAGGCATGGAAGGATTATAATATGGACCTCAGTTATTATTATATCATCTTTCCTCCCCCCCAAATCAATCCTTTTCAAAACTTCCCTATTACTATGCAGGGTATCGTCATTTTTCTAGTTTCCCAGCTCACCTTTCACTTCTCATTTCCCCTTCATCTCACATCCATATACTCAACAACTGCCAGCTCTTATCACTTCTACCTCCACATCTCTCCCATTTGACCCGTTTTCCCTCACACAGCCACTACCCTAGATCAGCCCCTTATCAACTCTCACCTGGACTTTCCCAAAAGCCTTCTACTTGGCCTCCCTGCTGCAAGTCTTTCCCCATTCTAATCTGACCTGTACACAGATGCCGAAGTGACATTCCTCAAGTAAAGCTCTGATGGTGTTACTGCCCTACTCAGTAAACACCTGTGGTTCTCTATTGCTTCAAAAACAAACACTATTCATCTTTATCTCATCCTTTCTTAACTTCTATCTTTGTTGAAGTTTTAAAACATACACAATTAATATAGTAGTACATGAGTACAAGTATGTAATTTATAAATAAGTAAATATGCACAGATGGGGGACACATGCTCACTTTTTATTGATCAGGTGAAAATGGAAATAATGTTTTACTAACAGGTACAAAATCAAAAAAGTTTTGTCCTCCGGAATGATTTTTAATCCTTTCACCATTGCCCTAATCTAGTTTTGCTTCAATCTGTCAACAGTCCTTCCTAAAATATGGTACCCTGAGCTGGACATAATGCTCTAGATGTGGTCTGACCACAACAACATAAACAGGACTATCACTTCCTTCACTCTGATATTATATTCCTTTTAATGTAGTCTCAGGTCACATTAGTGTTTTAACTGCCTTGTCACATTTGCTCACTCATATTGATCTTGCAGTTCATGGAAGAACCCAGAGGTCTTTTGCATGAGAATTACTTTCTAGCTTCATGTTCCTCCATCCTGTACTTATGCAGTTGATTTTTCTTAAATTCAAGCACAGGGTTTTACATTTATCCCTATTAAATCTCAATGTGTTAGCTTCAGCCTGCCATTCTAGCCTGCTGAAATCTGTTTGGAGTCTGATTTGGCCATAGATGGTATCACCTATCTACACCTCTCACCCAGGGTTGGCAACCATAACACCTAAACTATCTTCCAACGTACTGACTAAAAAATTTAACTGAATAAGGCCAAGAACAGATCCCTGAACACCCCACTAGAAATTTCTCTATAGGTAAACCCAGATCACTATTCTTTAGGACTAGTCAGATATCTGTAATTTTTCTATATGATTTATGACTAGAGGAGTCTATATGTGTATAGCTCTATATAATTCATAAAGCATATGTCATGTCTACCTCATAGTATCTTCTCTCAAAATACAAAAGCATATTAGCATTAGACAATACAAAATACACCAATAAGAAAAAGCATTTATTAAACATCTTGTGGTAAAAACAGTATTTTAACTCATCCTCCCATGCAGGCAAATTTTCACTCTAGTTTTCCCTTAAAAGGTTGCGAGCCATTCCTCCAGACTTTGCTGGCTATCTCCCGAATACAAAGCAGAAGAGCGGGAGGGAGAGGGAAAAGGAGTGGGAAGGAGATCAGCAAAGTTTGACTGGTATATCATGAAGGAAAGGCAGGCCCCATCAGGCAAGGGTTAAATCAAGTGAATGGACTCAATGTGTACTCAATGCCTGTCCTTGTACAATATCCATCATCTATAATGCCTAAGTAAATCTTCTTTTGTCAATAACTGTTGACAGCTTACAAGTGTCTCATTTTATTCTTTTATCAAAGTACTAGGAGACTGGCCTGAGTCAGACCAAGACATACTTGCTGTGCAAAGTACTATGTTAAGCATCTGAGAAATTAAAAACAAAATAAAAACAAAAAACCAAACAAACAACCTCATCTCATTTATGGCCAAAAAAGAAAAGAAATAAAAAAGAAAAATGTGGCCCATAAATGGCTTATATTTAAACAGCTTAAAATTATTTATTTTCCTAAACTAGCATAAATTATGGGCCTATATCCACGCATTTTATAACAGCTTTCTTAAATGTAAAATTAACAGTTCTTTGGCAAACAAACCTCACTACCCACCCACCTACAGAGCCCAAAAATCTTGGGCAATAGGTTTATATGCCGATTTCTTAACCTCTTATGAAATACAGAAGAGGAAATCATAATTTTTTTATGGTGGGAAAGTACCTCACATCTCTAAAAGAAACTCCCTATTTGAGTTTTCACACATCTTTATGAGGTTTATATATCTCTCCTTCATCCTTTAGGATTCCCCAATTAAAACCTTTTGTCCTAACATTTAAAATCTTCAGGGTCAGAAGAGGATCCTAGAATAACTGAAAAACTGATCAGTGACAGTAGTAGCACCTGTAAAACAAATCACCAGTATGATTTCAGAGAGAGGTGTTACAAGATAAGGAGAGTGTTTGTAAGAATACTGAAGATTACAATAGGATGAAATCATATATTGAGTATGTATAAAAATGTACATAAATGTGTATTCATGTTCCTTTGGTATCTTTGAACTTCAGCACATAGAATTTACCATTAAATCCAATGTGGTGAGTCAGGAGCAAATGTGGGACAGTTTGAGTTAACTCTGACCACAGGTGGAATGAACTGGGACTTTAGAGCTTTGGCAGGAAGCTCCCAGAGACTCCAAAGAACAGCAGAAGCAGGACTTTAACCCAGATACCTAGGATCTTCCTTTACCCAAAGAAAGAACTGGGAGAAAACACACACACACACACACACACACACACACACACACACACACACA